GTTACGGTCGTTTTTAAAGTGCCATCACATATTCTCTTGAGAGTTCAAATCAATAAAAACTGAGGTCTGTCGACATAATTGTCGTACGAAAATGATATTCCGGGCTAATTTGTTTCTAGAAACGTACGTTACACTTTCTTATGTTTTCATAAAACCCGGTGAGTCATGCTTAATCGAGGTTGCACGACCAGTCTCAAACAATATTTGACTAATATTTCTAACGATAATCCGTAGTTGCAATTTCTAATCCATTATCGATTTATTACGCCAGACGTGTGTAATTGCGGCTTTAGTTTAGTATGCGTCGTGTTTCGGCATGTTGTCCCGTCTCCTGTTTCCGTCGGTCGGTCGTTGCCTGTCTGTCTCCTGGACTTTTTATTTTGTGCCAGAATTTATTTGTGCAGATTGATGACGTTTTTTCAAAATTGTGCTAAGCAGTTTCGTTTAATTCCAATCTATCAAGTTTATCGAAGTTATTATTTACATCTCAATACTGTTCAGGTTTCACCAATGATGTGATGAGATCATTTCAAAACTGTACTTGTGATTTATTTTTAATGTATAATTAATATTTTTTAAATTTGCTTATAGAGGATCTCTCAGAAAAATTAATGACTGAGTTGTTAAAAAATAAAAATGGAAATATGCACTTTTTAAATTTATCAAGTTTTTACAAGTTTAATAAGGGCGAAATTAATCTTAACCTGGCAAGTGCTAGCACCGCCCACCCGCCCCTATTTCCTCAGAATTTATGTTATTTGCCAAATTAAATCTTAGCAAGTACTACCCTCTGAGAAAATAGGAGGCGGGTGGGCGGGGCTAGTACTTGCTCAGATAAGACTGAGTTTGGAAAACCTAAACTCAGCTCCGCCCACTTCTTGTCTCCATTTTACTGACTTATTTTATTTACTGTAAAATGTGAATTGAATTCTATTTTAACAAGCTGTAGAATCTAAGATTTAAAACATTCAGTATTATTGGCTCTGAAGAAATAATTTCACGAGTTTCCAATTTTTAATTATCAGTTTTTCGATTTTCTAATTTTAAAATTAAAAAATCGAAAGAAATATTGAAAAAATAAGGGAATTGTAAACAGGAAAAATTGTGATATGAAATCGAAAAAATGAAAATAAAAAATTCGAGATATTCCATTTCCATGTTTTGGAGTCCCCTCGATTTTTCGATATCTCGGTTTTTCTTTCTCAATTTTGGGATTTTTCAGTTCGATTAATTAGTTTTTGGAGCACGAATTGTGGGACTTTTTAATTATTATGATTCTTCAATTTTTTGTCATGTCAAGTTCTCCGATTTGTCCTTTTTTGATTTTTCAGTTTTTGATGTTTCATTTTTTGGTTCCCTAAATCAGATTTTTCGATTTCTCGATTTCTTTTGATTTTTCGGTTTTTCGTCATTTCCATTTTTTGGTTTTTAAATTTTTCAGTTATCCAGATTTCGATGTTTCGATTTTTAGATTTCTCGATTTTTTAATTTTTGACTTAAAAACTAAAAAGAAGGAAAAACTGAAAATCGGAAAGTAAAAAAATTGAAAATTCGAACATCGAAAAATCGAGAAGCGAAGAAATTGAAGAGTCTTAAGAACTGAAGAATGGAAAAATTGAAAAATCGAGAATGTGACAATTCGAATGTTTGAAAAACTGTATGTCGAAAAATCGAAAAGGAAATAAATTGAAAATCCGAGTATTTAAAATCGAAAATTAAACAAATCAGGTCAGGTCAAGTCGAAATTAAAAAAAATCGAAGATGGAAAGACCGAAAATTCGATAAATGAAAAAATCCAAAAATTCGGAATTTCGAAAATTGAAAATTGCAATATCGAAAAGTCGAAGAATCAAAATAACGAGAAATCGAGAAACCGAAAATTTTTCCACTTTTCCATTTCTGACTTTTCCAACTTCTCGATTTTTTGATATTTTGATTTTTCCATTCTTCGATTTCTCGATTTTTCGATTTCCATATTTTCGATTCTTCCTGGATTTTCAATTTCTCGATTTTGGAAATTTCGTTTTGCTTTTTCAATTTTTCGATTAATCCATTGAACAATTTTTGGAAATCGAATTTTAGGATTTTTTAATTATTATGATTCTTCAATTTTTTGTTACGTTAATTTCTTTGGTTTCTCGTTTTTTGATTTTTCGGTTTTTGATGATTCAGTTTTTTGGTTTCCAATTTATCAATTTCTCGTATTTTGATTTTTCGGTTTTTGGATGTTTCCAATTTTGGGTTGTTAAATTCTTCAATTTTTCAGTTTTATCGTTTTTCAATTTTAGAATTATCCAGATTTCGACGTTTCGATTTTTAAATTTCTCGATTTTTCAGTTTTTCGACTTAAAAACTAAACGAAAAAACTGAAAATCGAAAAGTAAAAAAATTGAAAATTCGAACATCGAAAAATCGAAAAACAAATAAATTGAAAAGTCTAAGAACTGAAGAATAGAAAAATTGAAAATTCGAGAATGTGAAATTCGAAACGTTGAAAAATCGAAAAGGAAATATTGAAAATTCGAATATTGAAAAAAAAATCGAATTAGGTCTCAAGTCGGGTCAGGTCGAAATTAAAAAAAATCGAATATCGAAAGACCGAAAATTCGATAAATGGAAAAATCGAAAATTCGAAATTTTAAAAATTTCTCGATTACTCCTATTTTATTTTTCGATTTCTCTATTTTCCGATATTTCAGTTTTACGATTTTTCAATTTTTCGATTGTTTAATATTCCGCTTTTTGGTGTTTCTAAATTTTCTATTTTTCTGTCAACCAATTTTTCGATTTTTTGATTTTTCGGCTTTTCGATTCCTCGATTTTTTAATTTTTCTCTATCTCAGTCTTTCGGTGCTCTACTTTTGAGATTTTTCAGTTTTCCATTCTTCAAAATTTCTTCGATTTTAAAATTTTTCGGTATTTGAATTTTCTAAATTTTCGATTTTTTGATCAATTGATTTTTCGACTTTCATTTCTGACTTTTTCGACTTCTGGACCTTTTGAATAGTACATTTTTGATTTTTGGATATTTTGATTTTCCCATTTCTCCATTTTTCGATGTTTCAGCGTTTCGGCTTTTCAATTTCGCGATTTCTCGATTTTTCCATTTTCACATTTTCGATTCTTCCTCGATTTTCGATTTCTCGATTTTGCAATTTTCGATATCTCAGATTTTTTGAGATCGAATTTTCGGATTTTTTAATGGTTCTTCAATTTTTTGTTATGTTAATTAATTTTTTGGTTTCAGATTTTTGTAATTCTTGATTTTTCAATTTTTTGACTTAAAATCTAAAGAACGGAAATACTGAAAATCGAAAAGTAAAAAAATTGAAAATTCGAATATCGAAAAATCGAAAAGCAAAAAAATTTAAAAATCCAAGAACTGAAGAATGGAAAAATTGAAAAACCGAAATTGTGAAAATTCGGAAGTTTGAAAAATTGACGAATCGAAAAACTGAAAGTTGAAAAATCGAAAAGCAGATTAATTGAAAATTTGAATATTGAAAAATCGAAAATTCAACGAATCAGGTCTCAAATCAGGTCAGGTTGAAATAAAAAAAAATCGAATATCGAAAGACCGAAAATTCGATAAATGGAAAATCGAAAATTCGAAATTTTGATAATTTCTCGATTACTCCTATTTTATTTTTCGATTCCTCTATTTTCCGATATTTCAGTTTTACGATTTTTCAATTTTTCGATTGTTTAATATTCCACTGTTTGGGGTTTCTAAATTTTCTTTTTTTCTATCAATCGATTTTTCGATTTTTTTATTTTTCGTCTTTTCGATTTCACGATTTTTTAACTTTCCCCTATCTCAGTTTTTCAATGTTCCAGTTTTGAGGTTTTTCAATTTTCTATTCTTCAATTTTAAAATTTTTCGACATTCGAGTTTTAGGATTTTTTAACTTTCGAATCTTCAATTTTTGGATTTTTAAATTTTGCGATTTTTGAATATTCCAGTTTTTGGTGTTTTTTAAATTTTGGATTTTTTGATCATTTGATTTGTCGATTTTGTGGTTTTGCGACTTTTTCATTTCTGACTTTTCCGACTTCTCGACTTTTCAATTTCTCAATTTTGCAATTTTTCGATGTCTCAGTTTTTCTTTTGCAATTTTGAGATTTTCCAATTTTGATCAATCTTTGGGGATCGAATTTTGGGATTTTTCAATTATTATGATTCTTAAATTTTTTGTTATGTTAATTTCTTCGATTTCCCGATTTCTCGTTTTTTGATATTTTGGTTTTTGATGTTTCAATTTTTTGGTTTCTGAAACTTCAGATTTTTCGATTTCTCGTATTTCGATTTGTCAGTTTTTCGATGTTTCCATTTTTTGGTCTTTAAATTCTTCAATTTTTCAGAAATCGAGAAGTCGAAACAATTAAAATTTAAAAAAACGAATTGAATAATGGAAAATTTGAAGAATCAAAGAACTGAAAATTCGAAACATTAAAAATTCCAAAAAAGTCGAATTCGACATATGTTTCCAACTTTTGATACTTGAATTTTCAGTGTTTTTGCTTTTCGATTTTTCCGAGTTTTTCATTTACTTAATAGAGATAAAAAACAAAAATCTCAAAATTAAATTTCATTCTTTTTCAACGGAGCGGAATTCATTAGGTTATTCATTTACTTCAAGGACGAGGGAAGTTCTGTCGAAATAACTTTCGACCAGTTTTTTCAAGCTTCGTTATCGGGTAACAAAAAATTGTTTAGACCAACTTTTAACCATTGCGTTTTTAGATTTCTCTAAACGTATAAGCACGGATAAAAAACGTAAACATGAATAAAGTAATGTAAAAACGAAATCCGAAAACGTGGTGCCTACGCCCCCAGCAACCACTTTGCCAAGAAAACCATGCGTAAACAGTGTTGTTTATTGATCAGTTACCTCTTCAAAACCAAGTATTTATGTAGAAGAAGCAAACCAGTAATTATAACATTAACTAACTTGGTAATGGGCGTGCTCACTAATCTAACGTAAACAAATAACCATCAGTCTCGGTGATGAAACATAGACTTAACATTTGCTAACCCGGCCCTAAAGAACTCGGTGTAAGTGCCTTTTTCATGTCCACTCCGCAATTTAATCCAGTGTGTTAACAATGCTGCTTGTGATCCACCGCAAAGGACCCTTACCGAAGGGAAAAGCCCGTTACACCGGAGTCATTCTCGACAATTATCGCCATGTCTTCAAAGGTACGAATGCATGTAAAACACCACTCGATGATTGTAAGAGGAAGCAATTTCACAGACCGATCACCCTTTCTTGTTCGGATTAAATGAGCCGACTTAAGAGGTCGTGGGCCGAGCTGGAAGCCCGTAATCGTGTGCTTAATACGCTAGAATTAGCCGTGTTTTATCTGTGAGTGGAACGAATACGGTTTACCGGTGGAAAAACATGATCTAAATTTTGTTCTTATCACTGAGCTATGCGACTTTTTACGACCAGATTGTTTGCCTTCAAGTGGGTCGTGGGTCGTCATAAAATTCCAAAAGTGAGATTTGTTTTACTTTGTTTATGTTCCGACGATCATGAAAATTAGAGGGGATCCGAACTGCCGAACCGATTACTTCTCCTGCAAAAGTAAGTAACGACAGGGGACATAGAGAAGTGTCATAGTTTAAATTAAATGACGGTTGAGGCCAATGTCGACTCTAGGCGTTCGGAAACGATTCTCAGTGTTTTCGAAATTTTAGTTTGGGGACTTTTCAGTTTACTATTTATTTTTCAATTTTTGGTTTTACAATTTCTCAATTTTTCAATTTCTCGGTTTTCAGTTTTTCTCTTCAATTTTACGATTTTTAAATATTTCGATTTTTCAATTTTTGACTTTTATAAACTCTTTACTTGTCGATTTTTCAGGGTTTTTTTTTCAATTTTTCGATTTTTTTTAGGTTTCGATATTTCGGTTTTGGGATTTTTCAGTTTTTCGATCGTCAGTTTTTCTTTAATTTTTTAGTTTTTCGATATTTCTGTTCTTCGACGTTTCCATTTTTGACTTCTGGATTTTTCAATGTGTCGACTTTTCACTTTTTCGATTTTAGATTTCTCAATTTTTTGGTATTTTAATTTTTCAATATTTAAAATTTTAGATTTTTCGATTTTTCATTTCAGCTCTTCCATATTTCAATTTTTCAAATGTTTCGATTTCTTAATCTTTCGATTTTTCGACTTCCCGGTTTTAGATTTTCTGTTTTTGAATTGTCGTTTTTTCAATTTTTCGATTTTTAAATTTTATATTTTTCAGTTTTTTGATATTTCAATTTTTCAATACATATTTAAAATTTTAGATTTTTCTTTCATTTTTCAGTTTTTCAATATGTATTTGAGTTTTGGGATTTTTCGATATTTTGATTCTTCGACTTTTCGATTTTTGGCTTTTGGAGTTTTCGATATGTCGACTTTTTACTTTTTCGATTTTTAAATTTTAGATTTCTCAATTTTTTGGTATTTTAATTTTTCAATATTTAAAATTTTAGATTTTTCGATTTCTCGATTTTTCATTTCAGTTCTTCGATATTTCAGTTTTTCAAGTATTCGAATTTTTCAAATCTTTCGATTTCTTAATCAATCGATTTTTCGACTTCCCGGTTTTAGATTTTCTGTTTTTTAATTGTCGTTTTTTCAATTTTTCAAATTTGACCTTTATAAGCTGTCAATTTTTCGATTTTTCAATTAATCCATGTTTTGATTTTCCCATTTCTTGACTTTCGAGTTCCTCAGAGTCAGTTTTTCTTTCATTTTTCAGTTTTTCAATATTTCAGTTTTGGCATTTCTCAATATTTTGATTCTTCGACTTTTCGATTTTTGGCTTCTGGAGTTTTCGATGTGTCGATTTTTTTACTTTTTCGATTTTTCAATTTTTCGATTGCTTAATCTTTCGATTTTCTGACTTCAGGGTTTTAGATTTTCTGTTTTCAATTGTCGTTTTAAATTTTTCGATTTTTCATTGTTTTGATTTCGCGATTTAGTTTCCCATTTTTATTTTTTCTTTAATTTTTCAGTTTTTCAATATTTCAGTTTTGGGATTTTTCAATATTTCGATTCTTAGATTCTTCGATTTTTGACTCTTGGATTTTACAATTTCTCAATTTTTCAATTTCTCGGTTTTCAGTTTTTCTCTTCAATTTTACGATTTTTAAATATTTCGATTTTTCAATTTTCGGCTTTTATAAACGCTTTGTTTGTCGATTTTTCAATTAATTGATTTTTCAGGTTTTTTGGTTTTTCAGTTTTTCAATTTTTTCAGGTTTCGATTTTTCAACTTTTTTGATTTTTCGATTTCTCAGTTTTTCAATTTTTTAATTTCTCAGTTTTTGGACATTTCAGTTTTGGGATTTTTCAGTTTACTTATTATTCAATTTTTCGATCTTGCGATTTTGCAGGTTTTTGATTTTTCAATTTTTCGATTTTTTTAAGGTTTCGATATTTCGACTTAACTTTTTGGATTTTTCGATTTCTCAATTTTTCGATTCTATGGATTCTTAATTCTTGAATTTTTCAGTTGTTCGATTCGTCAGTTTTTCTTTCATTTTTCAGTATTTCGATATTTCAGTTTTGGGATTTTTCAATATTTCTGTTCTTCGACTTTTCCATTTTTGATTTCTGGATTTTTCGATGTGTCGACTTTTTACTTTTTCGATTTTTAAATCTTAGATTTCTCAATTTTTTGGTATTTTAATTGTTCAATAAATATTCATTATTTAAAATTTTAGATTTTTCGAGTTCTAGATTTTTCATTTTTCATGATATTTCCGTTTTTCTTGTTTTCGAATCGATTTATTTTTCGACTTCCCGGTTTTAGATTTTCTGTTTTTCAATTGTCGTTTTTTCAAATTTTCGATTTTTCAAGTTTTCTAATTTGCCATTTATAACTGTGAATTTTTCGATTTTTCAGTTAATCCATGTTTTGATTTTCCTATTTCTTGACATTCGAGGGTTTCGATATTCCTGTTCTTCAATTCTTTAATTTTTCGATTTTTCAGGTTTTTGATTTTTTATTTTTTTAAGGTTTCAATTTTTCGACTTCACTTTTTGGATTTTTCGATTGCTCATTTTTTTGACTTTTTAGGTTCTCAGTTTTTGGATATTTCAGTTTTCGGATTTTTCAGGTTTTCCATTTTTCAGTTTTTTTTTTCATTTTTCAATTTTGGGATTTTTCAATATCTTGATTCTTCAACTTTTCGATTTTTGGCTTCTGGAGTTTTCGATGTCGATTTTTTTACTTTTTCAATTTTTGAATTTTTCGATTGCTTAATCTTTCGATTTTTCGACTTCCCGGTTTTAGATTTTCTGTTTTCAATTGTCGTTTTAAATTTTTCGATTTTTCAATGTTTTGATTTCTTAATCAATCGATTTTTCGACTTCCCGGTTTTAGATTTTCTGTTTTTCAATTGTCGTTTTTTCAAATTTTCGATTTTTCAATTTTTCAAATTTTACTTTTATAAACTGTTAATTTTTCGTTTCTTCAATTAATCCATGTTTTGATTTTTCCATTTCTTGACTTTTGGGGTTTCGACATTCCTGTTCTTCAATTCTTTAATTTTTCCATTTTTCAGGTTTTTGATTTTTTATTTTTTAATTTTGAAGGTTTCAATTCTTTGGCTTCACTTTTTGGATTTTTCTATTACTCAATTTTTCGAATTTTTAGGTTCTCAGTTTTTGGATATTTCAGTTTTCGGATTTTTCAGGTTTTCCATTTTTCAGTTTTTCTTTCATTTTTCAGTTTTTCGATATTTCAGTTTAGAGATTTTTCAATATTTTGATTCTTCGACTTTCCAATTTTTGGCTTCTGGAGTTTTCGATGTGTCTTTTTTTTTACTTTTTCGAAATTTGAATTTTTCGATTGCTTAATCTTTGAATTTTTCGACTTCCCAGTTTTAGATTTTCTATTTTCCATTGGCGTTTTAAATTTTTCGATATTTCAATATTTTGATTTCCCGATTTAGTTTCCCATTTTTAGTTTTTCTTTAATTTTTCAGGTTTTCAATATTTCAGTTTTGGGATTTTTCAATATTTCGATTCTTCGATTTTTCGATTTTTGACTCCTGGATTTTTCGATGTGTCGATTTTTTAGTTTTTTGATTTTTAAATTTTAGATTTTTTACTTTTTAGAATTTTAGATTTTTCGACTTCCGGGTTTTTCAAATTTTCGATTTTTCAATTTTTCAAATTTGACATTTATGAACTGTCAATTTTTCGATTTTTCAATTAATCCATGTTTTCCCATTTTTTTACTTTCGAGGATTTCGATATTCGTGTTCTTCAATTCTTTAATTTTTCGATTTTTCAGGTTTTTGATTTTTTATTTTTTAATTTTTTAAGGTTTCAATTTTTCGACTTTACTTTTGGATTTTTCAATTGCTCAGTTTTTCGACTTTTTAGGTTCTCAGTTTTTGGATATTTCAGTTTTCGGATTTTTCAGGTTTTCCATTTTTCAGTTTTGGGACTTTTCAATATTTCGATTCTTCGACTTCCCGGTTTTAGATTTTCTGTTTTCAGTTGTCGTTTTAAATTTTTCGATTTTTCAATGTTTTGATTTCCCGATTTAGTTTCCCATTTTTAGTTTTTCTTTAATTTTTCAGTTTTTCAATATTTCAGTTTTAGGATTTTTCCGATTCGATTTTTCGATTTTTGACTCCTGGATTCTTCAATGTGTCGATTTTTCAATTTTTTGGTTTTTAAATTTTCTATTTTTTAATTTTTAAAATTTTAGATTTTTCGATTTCTCGATTTTTCATTTCAGTTCTTCGATATTTCAATTTTTCAAGTTTTCGAATTTTTTAAATGTTTCGATTTCTTTATCTTTTGATTTTTCGACTTCCCGGTTTTAGATTTTCTGTTTTTCAATTGACATTTTGTCAAATTTTCGATTTTTCAATTAATCGGTGTTTTGATTTCCCATTTTTTGACCTTCGAGTGTTTCGATTTTCCTGTTCTTCAATTCTTAAATTTTTTGATTTTTCAGGTTTTTGATTTTTCAATTTTTCGATATTTTTAAGGTTACTATTTTTGACTTCACTTTTTTGATTTTTCGATTTTTCAGTTTTTAGATATTTCAGTTTTAGAATTTTTCAATATTTCAAATCTTCGGCTTTTCTATTTTTGACTTCTGGATTTTTCGATGTGTCTACCTTTTTACTTTTTCGATTTTTCAATTTTTGGATTTTTATATTCTAAATGTTTCAATGTTTTGATATTTTAATTTTTCAATATTTCTTAATCTTTCGATTTTTTGACTTCCTGGTTTTAGATGTTCAGTTTTTGAATTTTTCGATTTGTTAATTTTTCATTCCCGATTTATCGAGATCTGATTGTTCAGGTTTTCGATTTATCATTTTTTCAATTTTTTATTGTGGCCTATTTCGGTTTCTCAGTTTTTCCATTTTTCCATTTTTTCGTTTTTTGATTTTTCCGCTTTTCCAATTTTTCGACTTTTAACTTTTTGTTTGTCGATTTCTCTATTTCTCGATTTTTCGACTTCATCACTTTTCGATTTCTCGTTCTTTGGATCTTTCAATCTCTCAATTTTTCAATTTTTTAAATTATTAAGTTTTTTGATTTCACGATTTATCGAGATTTGGATTTTTCGATATTTTAATTGTTCTTTTTTTTTTCTCACTGTTAATATCATACAGTGTATCGAAAACAACCACAAAAATTGTCACTAAAAACATAAAAAAAAATTCATACAAAATATAACACAGTGTTTCCAAAACGTTTTCCCGAAAAAAGTCCATTGGGTTATTACGGTTTCAACAATATTCTTAGTTTAAGACGTTTTGCTAGTATAAAACACAAATAAAGAAAAGGGTGGTTTTGCAAAATCAGCCTGTATGTCGCATCTATATTAATCTAGTAACGGTACAAAAGTTTTTTTTATCAAGTTACGTGGAAACGAGTTATGAAAAATATTTTTTATTATTATATGTGTGCCTCTGCTATATATCATTCAGTTTTGACAGCTTTACTCGCTTTTTAGGACTAATAAATCATTTTTGGCGTTATGTACAATGTACACACTAGTTCCAAATATGAGACATAATGCAGCGGTACAAGGTTGACGAGACTGTAATTATTTGAAAGAGATTTGTTGAATTTTGTTAAAAATCTAAAAATATTACTTCTGTCAAGTATTTGCCAATACCTTTATGCTAATGCAACGACGCCTTTAAAACTTACAATTGCCACTTTAAATTTCCGCGACTATAGTTACGTAGCTAATACTTCTGACCCAAACGCGCTTTGTTCTCGAACCGCAGGAGTTCAGGGGGTTATGGGATTACTCTGAAAGCCATTGAATAAATTCGGAGGAGGGTAGAAACATCATTTAGTGTTATAAATTTAAATCTTGCGGAAAGCAAATCCTCTTAGACTCAAAGAGTAAATAAAGTGGCTTTTTCCAAGAAGAAGCTATCAAGCTCAGCTTTACTTGTACAATTTCCACCACCAACAAGAGAAACTCCAAAATATCGTTCCCTTTATTTGTTGACATTATGCGCATAAATTGCTGATTAGATTTCATCAAGCCTCATTATCTGTCTATTTTTGTCGCGCGATAACTTATCTACCATAATAGTACAAACAAGAAAGGCGGAAGCAGGTAAAATTAGCTAAAAACAAATTAATTCGACACGTTCTTTCTATCTATGCCACCGGAATTCATGCATTAAAACGGTTTCTTTGAACAAAACTGAAAGTTGCGTATCAAAAAAAATATATCCTTTTTATTTTATTATTTATTCGAGTAGTGTTTCCGGCCCTGTAATAGATATTGTAAACATAAACTGTATGGTGTCTACACGTGGTAAAATTAGCGTAAGAAATGCAGCGAATTCGGTGAAATCTCGACTCGCGTTTACGCGATTTGCACTATTAACGACCATTAATCTTGTGTATGTAGACACCGCGTTACGTTATGTTCCGCAAGTTAATCAAGTATCACGTGTCACTGGTAGTTTCTAAGAAAAAGTGCATTTTGAGCATTTTCTAGAGAAAGGTGGTAAAACTTTCCTGTGTGAAATGCAACGTAAGCTTCCTATATGGAAAATGATATGTATGTGTGTTCATGAACGAAAGTTACATAGACGCTAAAAATAGCAAAAATTTTTAGCATTTTCCAAGAACCCGTAAACTCTGATATAACGAAAGCGCGCTTTGGATTAAAGCAACAAATTCGTATTTTTAGCAAATTTATACCTCGCTTGATGGACTGCATACCAGCCCACATGTCGTGGTAAAGACATTCAACCTCGTCTCACAGACTAATTAGCAAATTATAGCAGCCTGTAATCAGCAGTCGTAATTATAAACCCACACGTTACTAAACCGTAAAAACCCCTTTCGCACAAAAAATCGCATTTCTCCACAATTCCACTTGTTGCGCGTCTTAATGGAGCTAATGATTTATTAAAGCCTGCGGACAAATCGTGTATGGATATATGGTTAATTTATATACGCGGTAATAACCATAAATTGGTTATAAGAACACAATTTGTCCAACAAGTCGTTGCTATAAATTCCGAGGGCCGCCACGGCGTCTCCACGTTTGATTTTCTTCAAGAGACTTCATTATAGGTTGATTGCGGCGATTAAGATTATGCGTGGAACTAATCTGGTTTATTTGTTGGTTTTACACCAAAAACGATGAGTTGTGTTTGCACGAAATTAAAAACTTGATTAAAATTTTCGGGTGTTCAGATTTATAACACTATAGTCTGGGAAATTTAAAGTGACTGCAAGCGTCATAAATCCCCAATGCATAAAAGTGCACTTCCAAACGTGGAAATGGGTCAAACTGTGTTTGTTTTTCATCACTTTGTTGCAAGACGCTAATGAATATTTAGTAGAATTACGGAATAATTACGGAATTAAGAAATTAAAGCTCTTACCTAATCGGCGTAACTGTTCATTACTTACACGGAAATCACAATGTAGAGGTGGATTTTTGTTAAGCGGAATTTACAAAAGCAGCGATTTTTAGAAATTTTGTTGTTACAGGTAAAACAATGAACGAGGTGGGGAGTCTGGGTGTTCGAGGAATAGCTGTCAGCCCAGACTCTGACTGCAACAGCAACCACCATGGCTCAGCGAGTTATCTCAGCAACACGTCTTCCCAAGATATTGATTTTATTCAGGATAATTCGGACTACCAATGGTTTTTGGACTACGGGTAAGTTATACAAACTGGACACTGTATACCAAAATTTTTGTTCGTTTTTGTTTGATTGTCACACTAAAATCATGTATTTTTCTTTCGTCTTGATGCTTCTGTGATGATTTACAACCTTTACTTGCTGAAGTCGCTTCTCCCAAAGGATTAAGGTCGATTTATAAACTTGAAGGAAAATCCCCCGAAGTAGGGGGGACACTTTTCTGGTTGACAACACTAATTCCAGGAAAATTAAATTTTGATAGATGATAATTCACAATAAGCAACTTTAAAATGCTAAATTTGTTTGCAAAAATACGCTCCGGCCCTCAGTCTTCTCTTTTGCTTTTCTTTTTAATTAATACATTTATTAGTATCCTTTGTATAATACGATTTTTTAAGAACATATTTCACTTGGTAATTTTTCGTAGAAAAATAAGGATTCTACAATTAAGCTCCGCCCCTCGGCTTGCGACGAATAAAAAAAATCATCAGAAATGAGATAGGGTGGGTGGGCGGGGCTTATATTTTGGTTTTTTTCTTAATATACATAGCCATCTTTACACAACAAGCACCTTAGAACATGGTTAAAATGCTACATTTTTTCAAGGAAATTTGGATTTTGTAATTATGGGGCGGAGCCTAATTGCAAAAGCGATATTTCCTTACACAAATTTTCCATTTTGAATATGTTTTAAATTTCATGTTATGAAAAGAAGTCTACATATCTTAAAACAAAAAGGTAAAATATAAGCCCGCCCACCCGCCCTGTCTCAATTGTGATGATTTTTTTTTATTGGCCGTGAACCAAATAGGCGGAGCTTAACTGCAAAATACTTATTTTATTACAAGAAATTAAAGACATGTTTTTTGAGTATAGTGTTCAAAGAATACTATTTATATTAAGATTTTTCAATTTTTTACTTTTATAAACTCTTTATTTGTCGATTTTTCAATTAATTCATTTTTCAGGTTTTTTGGTTTTTCAATTTCTCTATTTTTTCAGGTTTCGACATTTCGATTTCACTTTTTTGATTTTTCGATTCTTTAGATTCTCAGGTTTTGGATATTTCAGTTTTGGGATTTTTCAGTTTTTCAATTCATCAAATTTTCTTTCATTTTTCAGTTTTTCGATTTTTAAATTTCAGATTTTTCAGTTTTTTGATATTTTAATTTTTCTATATTTAAAATTTTAGATTTTTCGATTTATCGATTTTTCATTTCAGTTGTTCGATATTTCAGTTTTTCAAGTTTTCGAATTTTTCAAATGTTTTGATTTCTTAATCAATTGATTTTTCGACTTCCCGGTTTTAGATTTTCTGTTTTTCAATTGTTTTTTTTTTATTTTTTGTTTTTTAATTTTTTAAGGTTTCAATTTTCCGACTCCACTTTATTTTTCTATTGCTCAATTTTTCGACTTTTTAGGTTCTCAGTTTTTGGATATTTCAGTTTTCGGATTTTTCAGGTTTTCCATTTTTCAGTTTTTTTTTTTCATTTTTCAATTTTTCGATATTTTAGTTTTGGGATTTTTCAATATTTTGATTCTTCGACTGATCGATTTTTGGCTTCTGGAGCTTTCGATGTGTCAATTTTTTTACTTTTTCGATTTTTGAATTTTTCGATTTTTCGACTTACCGGTTTTAGATTTTCTGTTTCAAATTTTTCGATTTTTCAATGTTTTGATTTCCCGATTTAGTTTCCCATTTTTAGTTTTTCCTTAATTTTTCAGTTTTTCAATATTTCAGTTTTGGAATTTTTCGATGTGTCGATTTTTCAATTTTCCGATTTTTAAATTTTAGATTTTTTAATTTTTAAAATTTTAGATTTTTCGATTTCTCGATTTTTCATTTCAGTTCTTCGATATTTGAATTTTTCAAGTTTTCGAATTTTTCAAATTCTTGACCTTCGAGTGTTTCGATTTTCCTGTTTTTGATTTTTCAATTTTTCGATTTTTCAGTTTTTCGACTTCACTTTTTTGATTTTTCGATTTTTCAGTTTTAGGATTTTTCAATATTTCAATTCCTCGGCTTTTCTATTTTTGACTTCTGGGTTTTTCGATGTGTCTACCTTTTTACTTTTTCGATTTTTCAATTTTAGGATTTTTAAATTGTAGATTTTTCAATCTTTTGATATTTTAATTTTTCAATATTTCTTAATCTTTCTATTTTTCGACTTCCTGCTTTTAGATGTTGTGTTTTTCAATTTTTCGATTTGTTAATTTATCATTCCCGATTTATCAACATTTGATTGTTCAAGTTTTCGATTTATCATTTTTTCAATTTTTTATTTTGGCCTATTTTTGGGTTTCTCAGTTTTTCCAATTTTTCGACTTTTAACTTTTTGTTTGTCGATTTCTCTATTTTTCGTTTTTGGCCAATTCTGTTTCTCAATTGTTCGACTTTTCGACTCCACGGGGGCGGACGGGACGAGTGGGCAGGGGTTATACTTTGGGTTTTTTATTTTCTAAATATACGTAGCCATTCTTTTCACAACAAGAAACTTAGAACCTGGTTAAAATCGTACATTTTTATTATGAGGCGGAGCCTAATTTTATGATTATGAGGTGGAGCCTAGTTGCAAAAGCGATATTTCCTTATACAAATTTTCCATTTTGAATATGTTTTAAATTTCATGTTGTGAAAAGAAGTCTAGATATCTTAAAACAAAAAGGTAAAATATAAACCCGCCCACCCGCCCTGTCTCAATTGTGATGACTTTTTTATTCGCCGTGAACCAAAGGGGCAGAGCTTAACTGCAAAATACTTATTTTATTACAAGAAATTAAAAACCTGTTTTTTTTTATTATTGAGTTCAAAGAATACTATGTATATTAAGAAAAAAGGCAAAATATAAACCCCGCCCACCCACCCCATCCCAATTGTGATGATTTTTTTTTAAACTTAAAACACGTTTAAAATAGTAAATTTTCAATTTTCGTAAGGATATATAGATTTTGAAATGAGGCTCCGCCCCTAGGTCTGCCAACGAATGAAAACTTAATTACGATTTGGATGACGGCACGTATAGGTTGGGCTTAATCTTTGGTTTTAATTTTTTCTTAATATATGTACATAGTATTTTTTGAATAACACGGTACTCAAAAATATGTCGTAATTTCTTATAGAAAAATAATAAGCATTTTGCAGTTAAATTCCGCTCTTTTGGCTCTCGACGATTAAAAAAAAATCATCACAATAGAGATAGGGTGGGTGGGTGGGCGGGGCTTACATTTTGCTCTTTCTCTTAATATATATGTGCTTTCAGAACAAGAAACTTAAAACATGTTTAAAATTGTAAATGCGTATAGGGAAATATCGATTTTGCAATTACGCTCCACCCCTCGGCCTGACAACGAATGAAAAATTCATCACGATTGAGATCGAGACGGATGGGTGGGGCTTCTTTTTGGTATTGTTTTTCATTAAAACATTTAGTTTTCTTTGTATAACACGATTACTTAAGAACATATTTCACATGGTAATTTCTTGTAGAAAAATAAGGATTCTACAATTAAGCTCCGCCCCTCGGCTTACGACGAATAAAAAAAATCATCAGAAATGAGATAGGGCGGGTGGGCGGGGTTACATTTTGTCTTGTTTTTCTTAATATGTGTAGACTTATTTCGACAACACGGAACTTAAAACATGTCTAAAATGATAAATTTTTGTAGTAATCAACTTAAATCCTCCACATCAAAGTTACTATCAACGGCAACTTGGCAACGGACAAATGTCAATTTTCAACGTCAACGACAATTTTATAAATCCCCATTAAATCTCACTTTAAAGATTCTGTGTTGACCAGTATCATCTAATTGTATTCATGATTCATAGAACCTCTATTATTTTCGGAGAGGACGTTAGGGCTGTAAATTATCATAACAGATTTGTTGTGCTCTTATTTCTTCATTATCTTATCATATTCTCAGTAGCTGTAATCATTGTGTTTACCAACAGTAAATAGTTTTCCCATTAGTGGGTTAAATATTCAATATAAGCTACTTATTTTCATGTTTTTAGCTATCGGGATGGAGGAACGAACCACCACACAAGTATACTATCACTACCCGAGTCCTACGAAGCCAATGACATGAACTACTATGACGCCTTGGCGAAGAATATGGACGCGAACTTGGCCGAAGCAGACATGGAGAGTTTCCGGACGGAAGACATCCACGCCTTGCTTACCAACCTACCACCGATGTGTACCGACCACCTAAGTCAAGATGTAAGTTGATTAATAATCACTTGCGAAAACAAAAAACCGGAGCGGACTTTAACAGACCCCTGTCTCACTCATGCAATTTATAGAATAACCGCCAAGGAGAGAGCTTTGCGAGTGTGTCCGGCTCCATGATGGCAAAATTCGACTTCGACAGTTCCATCAGCCCCCACAGCAGCTCCCACGGCGAAGACTCCGCCAACTCCACCTCCATGTCCATCTACAAATCCGAGCTGCTCTTCAGTCCAGTCAAGGAGACCCCCATGCCCGGAGCCAACTTCAGCGTGGACTCGCTCGACTGCGACATGATGCTGACCTGCCAGGCCAACAAGGACAACTACACCATAGCTTTCGAGGGCTCGGCGGTGTACTCCGAAGATAGCGATTACCACGAGACGGGTGATTATCAAAGTGAATCAACACGTTTATCTGGTAAACAAATGGTTCATTTTGTAGATAAAAGCGAGAACTCCGGCACGGGTAGCGCTCATTGGACGAACGACATCAAAAAGCAAACAAATAGTGCAAAGGTTATTGATGCATCGATGACGCAGTCGGACTCGGGGAGCTTCACCACTTGGAGTAAGTTGAAGAAGAGGAGTAGTGATAATCAGCTGAGGCGACACCCGTCGGGGAACAACAACAACTCAGGAGATGAAACTAGTCATTTGGGACTGAATGAGAATTCCGTCAAGAGCCAAAGCATGCCTAATTTGTACAAGCAGAAGCTGAAGACTCTCTTAGTCAGTAATTACCTCAGGAATCAAAACGTGGCTTCGGTGAGTACTTAGTCGGTGTTGGTGTTTGAGTTTGAGTTGAATTTGTTTTGTTTTGCAGACCAGTACGGTTAAAAGAAAACCAGTTAAAGTATTCGATATTCAGCACCAAAGCAGCAGCGGAAGCGGAGTGAGCGTGTCCGACATGGCGACTTCGGTGGACGGCAGCACAAGCGACAACACGGGCAACAAACACCACCCTAACTTCAGTCTGGTGAAACTCTTCATGAAGCAGAAGAGCATGAGCACGGAGGGGATGTCCACCACCATGGATCAACTGTCGTCGACGGAAAACTGGCCGGGGAGCCAATCGGACGAAAGCAACTGCTCGGAAGGCAAACCACCCGAAACTCTCAAGATGAGTGTAGATCAAAAAACCAACGAAAGCAGCGTGCGCACCTACGACTTAATCGCAGAAGAACCAGAAGAAGAGATGTCCCGAAGCGAATCAGTAGAACAATTGTCTGAAAGCATCTCCAAAATAGACTCAGTTGGTAATAGTTTCGAACGAACGTCCCCCGAAAGCCACTTTAACCTCAACAACAACAACAGCTACCTGACAGAAAGCCACAAGTGCGACCAAAAGCACAAGAAAGCGTTTGAGAACGAACTGATGAACCGAAGCATCCAGACTTCACAGTTCTCCGAAATAACGAGCTTGAAGAACGCGCATAAAACATCCGCAAACAACAAACAAGGGGTGAAAGTGGTAGAACCGTCGTTCCTCAACAAGTTGAAACAAGAAGGAGAGATGCAGAAGCCCGTCTATGTTCTGTACCCCAACTACGTTCTACCGAATTTGGACTTCCTGAACGAGAAACAAGAGGATATGGCCAATGTTCTACTCGTGCCGCAGGAAGCCCCGAATGTGAAGGCAGCCCTCAAGAAGCGACCTTTCAGTTGTAACGACGTGGAAATGCTAAAGAAGAAAGGTTTCAGTCACGTTAAAGACTGGGATTCGTTGAATTTTTTGCTACCACAGGAATATAAGCGGATTTTGGCTGACGTTCCAGAAATTTCTGAACACATTAAACCGTCGTTTGCGCACGCTGTGAAGACTAAAAGACGACCGTTTAGTTGCGAGTACGCGGCTAATAGTTCGTCCAGTTCGAGTACTGCTACTCAACCCAGTTCCGGTTATAGAGGGTCCTCCACCATCTTGAGTGACTCTCAAAACAGTCCGGCACCTGTTACCAACCTCAATCCGCTTTTTGTGTACAGATATGATAGTGTGACGAGTTCGGAAGCCAGTTTGCTCAACAGTGAAAGACAGAGGTCGATCACCACAGCCCCGCCGCTACCCACGAGGTGTGTAAGCCTCCAACAAGGAGACCACATACCTCCGAGACCCCCTCTCCCGAAAAGTATCCTGCGGAAGGAAAAAGGTGACAACAAACGCTACAGTTTGTATGAAACGAGCGAAGAAGACTTGACCGAAGATACTCTTTACAAACGCAAGTCGTTACAAGAGCCGTATTTCTTGCGAACGAAGCGGTTCAGCGAGACGGAGGACGAAGGAGTGGATGCAGGCACATCCAGTAGTAGCGTGGACGAACACCACGAGTCACTCCGCACCACGTCACCCAACCACCAAAAAACCGACTTCCTTCTCTCAAACATTAGTACCGACGAGCTGGTACAACTCGAGGAGTTTCTAAAACTGAGCGGAATCTCGACTTCGGATAACGAAGAAATGACCGAAGAGAATTTGATGCAGTTGCGGTCGTACGTCGGGAAATTCTTATCGTTGAAGATCAACCAAGAAGGAGCGGAACATTTCGGGGGGAAGAAGACAGTGAGTTTTGCAGAGAAGGTCAACGTTTTGCCGAAGTACCTCGAGACGAAGCAGTTCGTAGCGCCGAATAACTCGCCAAACGTGTCTGCTTTCGTCCACCACAAGAACTACTACGTAAGTAGGTTTAAGCTAAAAATTAGGTTATGTTTCGTGTTTGTTGTAGACTAAAACCCTCGTGGACATGCCAATCTGCGAAGAAAGCGAAGGTAGCCCGAACTATTGCAGCCCCCAAGCCACTCCAATTCATAAACAGAATTTGAACCTAGTGGAGAAGCGGTCTTTGGTGAACGCCGTGACCGACGCAGTCGAGCAACTCATTAACCATTTCTCTTCTGCGACTAATCAAGCCGACCTTAACGCGTTGGGAGACTCCAGTATGAACCCTTCGTGTGCGAAACTCGCTCTTTCCACGCTTTGTCCAGCGTTGTACGCGGTTTTGAGCGATGGCTTGAAACCCAGTCTCGAGAGTAGTTTCGGGGCTATCAACAACTCGGTGTGGCAAGTAGTAGAGGCTTCAGCACAACAAGGTCCACTCACCAAGGCCTTAAACGAGCTCGTCATGCGCATAAACAGCGAAGACGCAATAACAGAAGGTCTAGTCAAGTTCAACGCTTTCGTGTTCGGGTTGCTTAACGTCCGGTCGCTGGATGCCTGGATGAGCTACCTCAAAACCAGAGAGAGCATACTCAAGAAGCACTACTGCAAAGATTCCTTGTTAATAATGGCGCACACGGGAGGTCTAAACGTGAGGACGCTTCTGGATACCCTAATTTCGGCGTTGCAACCTCTAGCGCTTCTACCTTTCCAATTAGACCTGTTGTTTGAGTACCGGCAGCTGCATTTGAGTTTCAAGAGGATGGACTCATACCAACAACAACTCAGTCCGACGCACAAGGTAAGTTAGCTTGTCGCGCTTCTTGCGGTAATCGGTGACTTCCAGCACTCCGTCTCACCGAACTACAAGCAATGGAATTCCCCGAAACTGGGTCTTTCGGCGTGCAGCAACCGCTCGAATTCCGACAGCGAAGACATCTCTGCAATCACAGTCCAACACGTAGAGCCCGAATTAACCCTCCCCGATTTACTCAATTCTTCGAGCAAAAGCAAGAACCGGTCGGACAAAGAACGTCCGCGCTCGTGCGTCGAGTCGGGGATGCTATCCAAACCCAATTTCAAACTCGGGGATGTCACCACAGCCGCAAAGAAACGCTGGTCGGGGATTTCGGTCAATTCCAAACTCTATCTAGTGTATGACCGCCTAGCCAAAGAAGACGACGAAGAGTACACTGATAGTTTGGAGAACGGACCCCCGAAAGAAGACCATAGCAATTCCAATGAAAACGTCCCGTCCCTTCAAGAAGACGGTCCCGAGTCTCTTGATTCCAATCTGTCCGACGAAAAACCCTTGAATGGGAGAAGGTTCAAGAAGCTGCAACAAAAATGGGAGATGTTGAGTGGGCGCGAACCGAGCCAATCGCCGCCGTCGTCACCCACAAACGGTGCGAATAAGTCGAAAATCCCCAGACCCATTACCTCTCCTGTCAAACCGTCTGGTATCCCAGTTTTGATTTCGCCTTCCGGGAAACCAAGCGCGAAAGGTTTGAAGAAAAACGTAGCCAGAGGGACTGGGATTGCGAGACCGAGTACCGCGAAAGGGGCTACGACGAAGAAGCAAACTGCTGCAAGGTGGGTCTAGACGGGTTTTGGAGGGTGTTCAAGTGGGTTTTTTTCAGGACTAGTCGGGTCGACCAGTTGGAAGGTAACGGGGATACGCCTAGGCACGTCCCCAGGCCCAGTAGCTTACCCTACAAGACCACCACAACTCAGAACGGGAAGACGTCGAAGATCACGCCACCGAGGAGGGCGGCATCGAGTTCGCTGAACAGGAAGCCTCTGAATGCAGCAAATGTACCAAAGTGAGTCTGAATTGACAGGTGGAGTTCCGATTCACGCTTTTTGGTTTGGGTTGCAGGATCGTGAGGACGCTGAACCACCGCGTGCCGTCGGAAAGTGGGCATTTGTCGTACAATGAAGGCGAGAGACTGAAGGTTGTGTTAGAGGTAGACGATAAGTGGTTGCTCTGTTGCCGAGGGTCGCAGAAGGGGTTGGTGCCGCGGTCCGCTGTAATAGCGGCCGATGTGGGTCGTTTCTGAAGTTTACGATATTTACGTACTGTAAATAATACGTAGTGTTTTGAGTTGTAAATTTTTATACAGACTGGATTTGTGATTTTTAGAAGATATTTAAGTCTATTACGCGTATGATAATATGTATTATTGTTACGAAGTATTAACCATATTGTTGCTGCTTATTACCGTTGTAGAAGCTATATGACTATTTATTTTATTTTTCAAATTATTTATTGAAAATTTCTACTGCTACTTCATTACGATCTGTTATGTACTTAATTAGAGCATCCGGAATTGTCTTAGCTGTGACCAGTCGTTGTAAAGTTTTGTATAGACCAGACTCTTGTTCGTCGTAAAATTTTCACATATCACTTCACATTTAGGTGGTTGGGTTTTTATATTCTTACGCAATCGTCGCTTAACGTCGACAACCAATGGACGAATTTACGGACTAACGACCCATCCAATTTCGTTCCTTTAATCTAACCCACTCGCTCGTTAAATTCGTTGATTTGGTGTGATTGTGTGGCTACTAAAAGAACCTTCCTCGTAATCAGTCCCAGTGCATGCTACTAAAAGTGTCATCAGAGTCACACGGTCACATTGTTGTCGAAGTTGAAGCGACTGTTGCGCGGTTCACTGACAGCTACATCTAAAACAAAATTACCTTTATTATTCGTGAGTACAAATAGATGTTAAGCTCGATTGTGAACCTTCGTGCACTTCTTTTTTCTTGTTGTGTGTATATAGCTTTCCATTTCTCTCGCTCCGTCCTTAGTTCTTTGCTTTCTGTCTCTATCTAGCACCACAGCATGAGTGGTCCGAGTATTTAATAGAATACCTCCAGGATTCAACCCAGCTCATCTACACCTATTTTCTCATCACATTCGTTTTATGGCAACAAGAGTCCATTTCCTTGTCACGGTCGCTGTTCTTAGATATTTTTATTTATAAAGTGCAGTCGCTTCTGTATATGTCTTGCTGAATGTCTATAACTTAGATTTTTAGGAGTTTCCAGGTAAAGATCTGACTACACTTAATTACATATAAGTATATCAAATTTTGTGAACGGGGCCTTTGTATCACAATACAGATTTTATTTAAGTATTCCTTTGACCCAGTTTCTATGCTTGCATTTTCAGCTTGGTTTACTTACGTCCACTATATGTATATATTGAATCGAGTTATAAAAAGCTTTTGTGATGTATATAACGTTACCAAAGTCCGATCGAACGATCGATTTCAGCGATACTCTAATGGTTTTTGTTAAGGTTTTTCATTTTTGGGAACAATTTTGTGTCGTAACCTCACCATAGGTGCCATATACACCCATCTGTTTACCTTATTTTTTGACTTTGTTTTGAAACGTCAAAATTGTAGAATAAAAGGAGGATATGTAGAAATAAACATGTAACTCAAGTCAGAAATAAATCATTATAATGACACGCAGATGTTTTATTTGATACAATAGGAAATTTTAACGCTGGTGGGATTATTGTGTGAGTTGGTTGGGGATTCAGAAAACGCCAAAAACCTTCTTCATTGAATAATTCAAGTCGACTCCGGTGTCCATTTGCCATAATAAAATGATGTAAGTAGTCGCCGTTCCGCAGACCTGTGGGAATAATTAATGTTATAATATAACTAATCAGAAATTCACTTGAAGTTAAAGTGAACCAGAACCCCCATGATATAACAATTAATGAAACGACGTTTAAATAATGGTTAAAAAATTGTAAACACACTACATTCTGAAGATGAAATCTTTTAAAAAGTGAATACACTACCGATGTAAAAATTGGTAGGTCGATGAGAAACATGTTTCCGGCATAAATTTCAAAAGTTTCATGGAGTAGTTGAAGGGCAAATGCGTTGAGCTGAAAAAAAATATTTCAGTTTTCAGATTTTTAAGTTTTTCTATTTTTTTCTGTGCATCTTTCTCATTCTCTCCCTTTCCCCCTGCCTACTTTCTCTCTCCCTCTACCTTCTCTTATTTTCGAGAAGTCAAGAAATCGAAAAATGGAACAACGGAAAAGAATTCGGAAAATCGAACATTCGAAGAAATGTCAAATTGAAAATTCAAAATATCGAATTCGAGAAATCGGCAAATTGAATAATAATAATAATAATGATATCGTTGCCCAACAGAAAAAAATTGGAAAGTCAAAAAATATAAAAATCAAGCAATCGAAACATGAAACGCCGAGAAAGAAAAAATTGAAAATCTGAGAATTGAGAACATGAAAAATCTACAATTCGAAAAATCGACTATCAAAAAACTGAAAAATTGAGAATTTGAACAATCGAAAAAACTGAAAAATCTAAACATCGGGAAATCGAAAAACTGAAAAAATCGATAATTCTAGAAATTTAGAAATCGAAAAATGAGAAAAACGGGAATTGAAAAATGAAAAAATTGACAAGTGGAATATTTGAAAAATTGGGAAATCCTGAAATAGACAAATTAAAAATCGAGTAATCGAAACATTGAAAAATCGAAAAATTTGGAATTGAGGACTCAAAAAATCGAGAACTGAGAAACGAAAGATCAAAAATTCAAAAATCGACCATCAAAACAACGAAAACTTGAGAATTCGAAAATTCGAACAATGGAAAAATCGAAAAATTGAGCATTCGGAAAACCGAACATTCAAAGAAACGACGAACTGAAAATTCAAAATATAGAAAAATCGAAAATCGAGAAATCGAAAACGAACATTTGAAGAAACGGAAAATTGAAAATTCAAAATATCGAAAAATTAAGAATTCGAAAAATTACAACATCGAGAAAACAAAAAACTGCGAACTTGAAAGGTCGAGAATTCTAAAAATCGAAAAACTGAAAAGTCGAAAAATCTAGAAATTCAGTAATCCAAAAATTCAAAAATCTAGAAATCCAGTAATTGAAAATGGAAAATTTGAAAAATTGAAATACTGGATATTCGAGCAATCTAACCTTTGAAAAGTTGAGAAACAAAAAATCGAAAAATTGAGAAGTTGAAAAATCGAGAACTGAGAACAGGAAAAATCAAAAATTCGAAAAATTTAATAATGGAAAAAACGAAAAATTGAGAATTCCGAAAATTGAACATTAAAAAAAACACGGAAAAATGAAAATTCATAATATAGAAAAATCGAAACATTAAAAACCGAAAATCGAGAAATCAAAAACGAACATTTGAAGAAACGGCAAATTGAAAATTTAAAATACCGAAAAATTAAGACATCGAGAAAACAAATAACTGCGAATTTGAAAAGTTGAGGAATCTAAAAATCGAAAAATCTAGAAATTGAGAAATCCAAAAATTCAAAAATTTAGAAATACAGGAATGGAAAATTTGAAAAATCGAAATACTGGATATTCGAGCAACCAAAACTTTGAAAAGTCGAGAAACAAAAAATCGAAAAATTGGGAATTGAAAATTCAAAAAATCGAGAACTGGGAATAGGAAAAACCAAAAATTTGAAAAATCGACTATCAAAATGAAAAACGACGAATTCGAAAAATTGAGTAATGGAAAAAACGAAAAATTGAGAATACCGAAAATCGAACATAAAAAAAACACGGAAAATTGAATATTCAAAATATAGAAAAATTGAAACATTAAAAATCGAAAATCTAGAAATCAAAAACGAACATTTGAAGAAACGGCAAATTGAAAACTCAAAAAATCGAAGTACCGAAAAATAGAATAATCGAAAAGACGCAATTGAGCATTCGAAAAACTGAATAATGGAAAAAACGAAAAATTGAGAATTCGGAAAATCAAACATTCGAAGTAACGGCAAACTGAAAATTCAAAACATCGAAAAATCGAAACAACAAAAATCGAAAAATTGAGAATTCGAAATATTGAAAAATGCAAACATCAAGAATTCGAAAAGTCGCGAAATCGAGAAAACGAAAAATTGAGAATTCGAAAAATCGAAATATCAAAAAATCAAAAAGTCGAATAATCGAAAAGACGAAATTGAGAATTTGAAAAATCGAATAATGGAAAAAACGAAAAATTGAGAATTTGGAAAATCGAACATTTAAAAAAAAAACGGAAAATTGAAAATTCAAAATATAGAAAAATCGAAACATTAAAAATCGAAAATTGAAAAAACAAAAACGAACATTTGAAGAAACAGCAAATTGAAAATTCAAAATATCGAACTGCGAATTTGAAAAGTCGAGAATTCTAAAAATCGAAAAACTAAAAAGTAGGAAAATCTAGAAATTCAGAAATCCAAAAATCCAGAAATCCAGAAATTGAAAAATGGAAAATTTGAAAAATCGAAATACTGGACATTCGAGCAATCGAAACTTTGAAAAGTCGAGAAACAAAAAATCGAAAAATTGAGAATTGAGAATTCAAAAAATCCAGAACTGAGATAAGGAAAAATCAAATATTCGAAAAATCGACTATCAACAAAACGAAAAATTGAGAATTCCGAAATTCGAATATTAAAGAAACACGGAAAATTGAAAATTCAAAATATAGAAAAATCGAAAATCGAGAAATCAATAACGAACATTTGAAGAAACGGCAAATTGAAAATCCAAAGTATTGAAAAATCAAAAATCGAGTAATCCAAAATTGAGAATTCGAAATATCGAAAAATCAAACCATCAAAAACTCGAAAAATCGAGAAATCGGGAAAACGAATAACTGTGAATTCGAAAAATTGAAATACCGGAAAATCAAAAAACAGAATAATCGAAAAGACGAAATTGAGAATTCGAAAAATCGAATAATGGGAAAAAACGAAAAATTGAGAATTCTGAAAATCGAACATTCGAAAAACTGGAAAATTGAAAATTCAGAATATAGAAAAATCGAAACATCAAAAATCGAAAATCGAGAAATCAAAAACGAACATTTGAAGAAACAGCAAATTGAAAATTCAAAATATTGAAAAATCGAAATACCGAAAAATAGAATAATCGAAAAGAGGCAATTGAGCATTCGAAAAACTGAAAAATGGAAAAAACGAAAAATTGAGAAATCCGGGAATTGAAAAATTGAAAAATCGAAAAGTGGAAAATTTGACAAATTGAAAAATCTCGAAAGTGAGAAATTGGGAAATCCAGAAGTAGAATCATTAAAAATCGAAAATTGACGACCGAATTATCGAAACACTGAGTACTCGAAAGCTTGAAATATCACAAAAACAAAAAATTAAAAACCGAACGAAAATTCGAAAAGTCGAAAAAATTGAGAACTGAGAATTAAAAAAAATCGGAAACTCAGAATACAAAAAATCTAAAATTCGAAAAATCGAACAATGTAAAAGAATTCGGAAAATCGAACATTCGAAGAAATGTCAAATTAAAAATTCAAAATATCGAAATCGAGAAATCGGAAAATTGAATAATAATAATAATAATGTCGTTGTTGCCCAACAGAATTTCCAATTAGAGGACAAGGTAAATTAAGAATAACAACACAAGAATAAAGAAAATAATAAAAATCATAACATTAATAAAACAATAATGCGATAATTTTTCAAGAAATCTTTAACAAATAAAATTAAAACATGGAAAAATCTAAAAATTCAGAAATCCAAGAATGTAAAAACCGAGAACTCCGGGAGTTAAAAAATGGAAGAATAGAAAAATCGAAAAGTGAAAAATTTTAAAAATCGAGAAATCCAGAAATAGAAAAAATAATCAAGCAATCGAAACCTGAAACGTCGAGAAAGAAAAAATTGAAAAATTGAGAATTGAGAACATGAAAAATCTACAATTCGAAACATCGACTATCAAAAAACGGAAAAATTGAGAATTTGAAAAATCGAGAATTCAAAAAATGGAAAAAACTGAAAAATGTAACCATCGAGAAATGGAAAAACTGAAAAATTCGATAAATCTAGAAATTCAGAAATCGAAAAATGAGAAAAACGGGAATTGAAAAATGGAAAAATTGACAAGTGGAATATTTGAAAAATTGAGAAATCCAGAAATAGACAAATTAAAAATCGAATTACTGAATAATCAAGTATTCGAAACATTGAAAAATCGAAAAACCAAAAATCGAAAAATTTGGAATTGAGAACTCAAAAAATCGAGAACTGAGAAACGAAAGATCAAAAATTCAAAAATCGACCATCACAACAACGAAAACTTGAGAATTCGAAAATTCGAACAATGGAAAAAACGAAAAATTGAGCATTCGGAAAACCGAACATTCAAAGAAACGACGAATTGAAAATTCAAAATATAGAAAAATCGAAAATCGAGAAATCGAAAACGAACATTTGAAGAAACGGAAAATCGAAAATAAAATTCAAAATATCGAAAAATTAAAACATCGAGAAATTAAATAATGGAAAAAACGAAAGATTGAGAATTCCGAAAATCGAACATTAAAAAAAAACACGGAAAATTGAAAACTCAAAATATAGCAAAATCGAGAATTCAAAAACGGACATTTGAAAAAACGGCAAATTGAAAATTCAA